GGTTAACTGCTGTGAATTTGGTGTATTTGTCCGTTTTACGAGGGTGAGCGGTACCTGTCCGTACTGGAGTGGCAACCCCTGCTCCAGCTCTCCGTCAGTACTGCGGAGCTTGGGCCTGCTGCTTGCGGGTGGCACACAAGAGGCTGGGTCAGTGTGGAGGCCCTTTGGTCTTGTTGCCGGGCTTGTGACCGCTGTGGGGGCAGCCGGTCTTCCTGGCCCTCCAGACGGCTGGTTAGAGGTGGTGTGTGGGCAGGAGTGCCAGGATGGGCAGGGCTGAGGCCAGGCAAAGCTTGCAGAATTGTTGACAAGTGGGAGGTGACCGTGTTTCCTTGGTGTCCCCATCCCCATGGACTGGTTCAGGCTGCGTGTGCAGCTTGAGACCCCAGAGGATGGATGTGCTCTGAGCTGGCTTGGTTTCTCCCAGGGCTGGGGATTTGGGCTGTTGGGCAGCTCAGCTGTTTCTGCAGCTCTACAGCCACTGGTGTGGTGTGCACCCACTTGAGTAGCTTAAGAGGTGCAGGCACTCAAGAGCCAGTGGTTGATCACTGTGAAATAACTTGTCATCCATGGTGCCAGTTTTTAATGTGGAAGGCGCATGTGCCATGTCTGCAGAATTAGACTTGGACAACCTGTTAAAAACTCTATAAAATGGCTGTTCTGCAGAGGTGACTCTTGCCACTATTGGCCTGGTTCAAACAGATGGTGAATTAAAGGTTTTGTGTCCATTACCAGTTTTAAGTTATCTTTCCTCTTGCTTCCCCTGACCTTTTTTTTTTTTTTTTAACATGAATGTGGTGTCCAGAAGTCAAGAAATATAAATCGGATGCCATTATCTGAGTGCTTGTGACAGTCAGCTTGCAAACTGATCTGTGTTCACAGTCACAGTGTCGTTTACTACAGGGAGTGAGACTGTGTTTTCTGCATGGTGAGGAAAAAGCTATGGTCTGATTTGTCTTTCTGAACTGGCTTTTTAATCCTGGTTATTGCTGTCTTAATGTGTATTGATCATGGTGTGGTCACAGTGTGAGTGGTTGATGTGCTTTAGGCTTAGCTTTCTAAGGCAGAGTTTTTACGCGTCAATATCTGATTTTGAGTTTGCTCAGCCCTTGTTCACCACAGTACCCTCAGGAATCAGGAATGTTACTGCTTCTGTTGCTCTTTCTTTTACCCCTCCCTCTCTGTTCCCTGCTCCCCAGAATGAATGAAATGAACTTGAGTCCTGTAGGGATGGACCAGCTGACCTCCTCCTCTGTGAGCAATGCCCTGCCGGTCTCGGGGAGTCACCTGGGATTGGCAGCGTCACCCACTCACAACGCCATACCAGCACCAGGTAATGGGGGAAGCTCCCACAAAGCGTATTGCAGCTCATGCTCTGTGGTTTACTCTCATGGGAATGTTCGTAACTGGGTAGCAGTTGCTTGCTCTGATAGCAAGTCATGTCTTTAGTAGGTGATGAGCTGATGTAGAATTGAGGAAGGGCAGACCATAAACCATTGTTTATGTGGGCAAAGCAAAAGGCATGTGTGCTTACCAGGCTTATGCCTTAATGGGAGTCTCATTTTGTTCTAATGGGGTGGTTTGCGTGGTGGGTGGTAGCAGAATTCTTTGAAGTGTAGCTGCAGATCCCTCTCCATTTGTGTTTGTCTTCACTCAGGTGAAAATGATTTCACCTGGAAAGCAAAACTGTTTTCCCAGCTCTTGTTTTTCAAGGGGCTACACAGACAAAAGCCCATTACAGTTGTAAGGTAGAAGCAGACCCTGTGTAATGTATCCCAAAAAGATCTAGCCACATTCAGGCATGCCTCTCAGTGCTGTGATAACTGTGATCCTTCCTTTGAAGCTTGCCACCTTACTTTTACAGTACCATACTGTGCTTCCATAGGGAGCTCCTGAGGAATTAGTAACCTCTTTGTTAGCTTGTCTGTTCACAAGCTCAAGTAGTTCCATTGAATTTAAATGGGCATTTCTTTTGCAGGTTTGCCTGTTGCAATTCCAAACTTGGGCCCCTCCTTGAGTTCCTTGCCCTCTGCTCTGTCTCTGATGCTCCCAATGGGTATTGGGGATCGAGGAGTGATGTGTGGTATACCAGAGAGAAACTACACCCTACCTCCGCCACCATACCCTCACCTGGAGAGCAGCTATTTCAGACACATTCTACCTGGTAAGTGACCTGGTGCTGATGGATGGGAACAGAGAGAGAAATTGTTTTAAGAGCCACCTGTTTCTGTCCCAAAGCAGGCAGGACTGACTGTTCTTCAGAGCTGTAAATTCCTGGAGTTTGTCCAGAGTCTATTGTGTCATTTACACACCTTTCTTTTCAGGTGTCTGTTTCTGTGTATGTCTGTTAAGAGAACTGAAGGGTATTTTCTATTTGAACCTCTGGTCACTCCTCCTGCTGCTTTGTTTTTAAGATAAACAGAAAATAAAGCATGCTTGGTTTCTATCTCAAATCACTTTAGTTTGAAAATGGCTGCTTTTTTTTCCCCTCCTGTAGTGTGAAGCAGTGCTTGGTGTGTGTGGTGGTAGGTTATGGCAGTTCAAACCTCAAAAAGAGCAAGCCATCAGCTGAGCAGTGTGGGCTGTTTCCCACCCCTTTAGCCTATGGCAGAGATTTTCTTCATTTTTTGTTCAAGGTTGGTTTCCAAAAGCCTAACGTACTGATTTCCACCTTGATTCCTCTCTTGCATGTGTTTTAGCGTATAGATGGAGAATTTTACATGTTAGTATATGAAGACTCAGAAATTTGAGCTTTAAATGAAGTCCTTGTTTTGTTTTGTAGCTAAGATTGATAGGGTGGAAGGGGGTAGATAAACTTCTTCAGGGTCACCCAGTGAATGTTGTTGATTCAGCCTAGGTTAGGAAAAGAAATCAGAGAATATAGCAGCCCACATCTCGTCAACTACGTGGTGACTAGTGGTTGAACTTGCCAACTGCTTAGGAGGAACGTTTCCTACTGTCTTACATGCCTGTCCATTTTGTGGGCAAAGACTAGAGGAGGAGACAGTGCATTTAAGGACTGAAGGTATTTGCTCTTCTTATGAGCAGTTTCTGCAGAAATGCATTTTTTCTATCTAGGCTGCTTGATGTTTAGCCTGATGTTTCACAGGACTGTTCCATCAGTCATCTTACTGCCTTCAAGGGTCCTCCTTGTTCAAGCCACAGGGCAGCAGAGCATGCAAAAATATTTGATGCAGCTGATTAAATTAAACTGTCCATTTCTTGGCTTAGCCATTTTTAATGGGATTATGCTGCAGGAAGAGAAGCCATGCTTGCATGCTTGTAATAGTGGACGTGTTTGAATGGCTTATAGGGTTCAAGGCCAAAAAGAGACATGCTGACTCAGATCTTGCAGAATCTGCATAATCTGTCTCTGCTGGAAGTGCTCTTTACTTTAATGTGCTGATGTATTTCCTCCAAAGATTTTTTTGTTTTCAGCTTTGTCCAACAAGAGAAGTTGGTAGAATGTAAATACAGGTTAATGTTTCTTTGTATCTTAAGTTTTAAGGTTGTTTGACCCTGAGGATCTTTCCAGAACTGCCAAAAAAGATGTTAGGGTTTCTGATTTAAATTTAACTGGGCTATTGTTTTGGGAGAAACAACTTACTTTTCATATAAGGAAAGAGAGCAGATGACTCACAAGACCTTTGAGAGACTTTATCTTGGTTCTTCAGCATTGCAGTTGATCTCAGAGATGGACACTTGTGTCACTTAGTCTTGGAGGAAGGAAGTAGTCGTCGTTAAAACTAAAATACCAAAGCAAAAGGAGTGCATCTGGAGAACTGTTTATGCTTCTCCTAGCAAAGATGAATGAGGGATTATCAAATGTTAGATCTCACTAGCTGTCCTTCATCCTTCATCCTTCATCCAGAGCTGTTTCTCAAAAATGATAAATTATGCCTAAAATGTGAAGAACTTCTTTCTGATTCATTTTCAGTCCTCAGGAGCCTGGGTTCAATGCTGCCAGAAACTTGGCTGTTCAGAGTTTGACAAATAACTGGAGACGTGCACTGTTGGGTGGAAGCTCTGTATTTGTTGTCAAATGATACTGGGACAAGAGTATTGTGTTGGTGTACGTTTGTGAGCCATGTTTTATAATCAGTGAGTTTTAATTGGACATAATGTAAAGAGCATGTCTTCGGGGATCTAGGTCCTAATGTACTTTGCTGCAGTGACAGGGTATTTTTGTTCAAGATTTGAAAACTGATGTCATCTCACTCTCACCTCTTTCCCCCTCTCATTCTATCAGGTATCTTATCTTACTTGGCTGACAGACCTCCACCTCAGTACATCCATCCCAACACTATAAATGTTGATAGCAATCCGGCACTGTCAGTTTCCAGCAATCCCTCAGCCCTAGATCCCTACCAACCCAGTGGAACCGTGGGGCTGGAACCAGGGATTGTCTCCATGGACTCCCACACAGTCAACACGCACGGTGCTCAAAACCTGCATCCTAGTGAGAGCCACGAGGTAGCGCTGGATACCGCAATCACTATGGAGAGCGTTTCAAGGGTAACCAGCCCCATCTCTGCAGATGGAATGACAGAGGAGCTTACAATGGATGACGTAGCTGGGGATCATACACAGATCCCAAACGGCTCCCGGAGCCACGAGCCGTTAGCTGTAGACACAGTGGGGAATAACTTGACGTCAGACGCTGTGGGACACGGCGGTGTCATTCCCATTCACAGTAGCACTTTGGAACTCCCTGTGGTCATGGAGCCCGACCACATTGCCGGGCGGGTGACGGGAATATCGGACAGCACACTAAATGACTCTATTCATACTGTGGCCATGAGCACCAACTCTGTGAGCGTGGCGCTCTCTACCTCACACAACCTAGCTTCCCTGGACTCAGTAGCCTTGCACGAAGTGGGCCTCAGCCTCGAGCCGGTGGCGGTGTCTTCCATGAATCAGGAAGTAGCCATGGGGCCAAGTCACGTGGATGTGTCTGCAGACAATCTTGCCTTCGTACCACCCTCTCTGCAGATGGAAGACTCCAATTCAAACAAGGAGAACATGGCAACCTTGTTTACCATATGTGAGTGGGCATTTCCTGCTTTCTTGGGGTGGGGTTTGTTACGTAGTTGTTGTCTGATGGGATGGCAGCACTCTTGTTGCTAGTCTTACGCATTTCTGGTGGAAGAAACTTAATTATTTAACAAGTCCACGGAAGTTGGAACATCTACAGCAGCAGATTAACCGTGCTGAAACACTACTTGGAAGTAGACATAATAGGATGTTTTAGTGTCATTCTCTTTGTATCCATCTCCCATGTTGCCTTGAGGTTGGAAGCTGAATTCTTTATGAACCTCTTGCCTTTTCTGGATATGCTGATATTATCCTTTGCAATGAGACTTTTGTTTTTTAAAGTCACATCACAAATGACTCTTCTTGCTCCGTTAAAAAAACCACAACAAACGCCACCACAAGCTGTACATTTCATCAAGTGGGTATAGTTGTTGAGTATGATGTTATGTGATTTTGCAAAATTTTTATTAAACCATGAACAGTCATCGTGAAAATGTTCTCAGTAGGACCTGCTGGAAAAAAGAGCAGAGAGTGAGGGAAGTTTTTAATATTTTTAATTATTCTCATCAAAGAACTTCAGTCCAGAGGTTAGTTGATCACCTAGGAAGAGAGGAGCACTGGACATTGCACTCTTTCAATCCTGTCATCGTTGAAGGAGTGATGTTTGAGAGCTGTGAAGTTCTCATTTGCTGGGACAGAGATTTGAACTTCCAGCTGCAGCATGTCTGGCTTCCCGCCACTGAAGCGTCAGGCCAGCTCTTACCTTCAGCTTTATTAGTGGTGGTAGCGTTGCCGAGTGCTGCTCGTGCACAGGATCTGGCTGTACCAATGCCAGAGCCTTAAGAGAAGCTTTGCCTGCAGAACATTTTTTTAAGAAATGGAAAGAAATAGTGCCTTGGTGAGCAATGGGAGAGGTGCAGCTTAGTGCAAAGTGTCTAGTCAGACATTTGAATTGAAACTTTTATTCTATGGGATAAATATAACTTAAAATCAGGTGGGTGTAGAACTATTATGAATTTACAATTCCTACAGGAAGACTTTTACAGTTGATGCATTGCGAAGTTCTTACAAGCGTCTGTTGCATGTTGAAGAGGTAATGATTAAAATACTGTGATATCCAGTATGCTCATGGTGAAATCACTCCTCTTATTCACCTGAGTGAGATCCGATGTGCCAGCTTATTGTCACTGTACGTAAAATAGTCCTAAGCTGTTTCCCAGATGGTGCTCCCTGTTGGTAGGATGTTATAGTGGCTATTGCACGAGTAGTGCTTCCAGGTGATTTAAAAAATAGATCTTTGACTTGGGAAGGTTTAAATTTTAACTTTTTGTTGTTGTTTTTAAACTTCTCCTGAATAAAACATGAATTTGTGTCCAGACAGGTGACAGGAGTGGGAGTTGTTTTAGACCCTCAGGGCCTTTTCCAGAAAACTTTTTACACTGTTCCTAAGTGGGAAGAAAAAAGTATGCCTTTGCTACGGTCCTAAATGTTTGGGAAAGTTTTAAGTAGCCCTTTTTTTGTTATCTTTGCTTACAGTTTTGGGTACCCAAATCAAAGTAATCACTGTGGGTTTGCTGGGGGTTTTTTGCATTATTTGGCAAGGATAGAAATGGAAAGGAAACAGTATATTTCACTTCCTGTAGAATGTAGGATGGGGTTTTTTTCAACTTCTTAAACATGTATAAATCCCTGAATCTTTCCAAATGGAAATGTCACATGCCTCAAACTTGTTTTTCTTCCTCTTTGCCTCTCCTTGGGGCTAGTCCACAGACCCGTGGTGGTGTGTGCTAGGCAATGCTTAAAAACAGCTGTTACAAATAGTGTTTCTCATTACTTGGGTCTGGTTGTTGTCATTGCTGCACTCCTACGTGTCATCTGTGCAGGTGAAGCAATGCTTATATAGGCTCTACCTAATAGTTTTCTGAGTACCTTCCTATCTGTAATTGTGTAGTTGCTCAAACTGTACTTTGTATGGGGTCAGATGCTGGTACTCTGATGTATGAAGGGAGTGTCCTAAAAATATCTTTAAACAAGTAATAAGGGAGCTGCTTTTTTTGCCTGCTGAAGACTACTTCTGTGCTAGGTCTCTTATACTGGAGTTGGGCCATCAAGAGGCCAGAGAAGGTCTTTTTGGAGATCCTGCTTAATTAGCTGAACATCTTTCTTCAGAAGAAGAGTGATTTATCAGGAGGGGGTGGTTGCTGAGTAGGTGTTGGTTGCTCCATTCATAGAGAATTAAAATAACTTAGTTTTTC